ATTCGTGTCTTCATACATGTACTTTGGATAATGGTGTTCATCACATTCCACCATCATTGCTAACCCCCTGCCCCCTCCAACCCTTCTGCCCTATCTAGAGTTTGTCTATTTTTCCATGCTCCTCCTCCCTACCCGACTATGAATCAGTCTCCTTATATCAGAGAAAACATTCACATTTTTTGCGGAGGCGGGGGATTGGCTAACTTTACTCAGCATTATCTTCTCCAACTCCATCCATTTACCTGCAGATCCCACGATTTTATTCTCTTTATTGCTGAGTAATATTACAATGTGTATATATGCCACATTTTCTTTATCCATTCATCTACTGAAGGGCATCTACGTTGGTTCCACTGTTTAGCTATTGTGAATTGTGCTGCTATAAAAATTGATGTGGTTGTGTCCCTGTAGTATGTGATCTGGTCTTTCTTAACAAGACCAAAGAAAAGAGAAAAAGAAGGAAAATGTAAAAATGTGACAACGATTGTATTATTAACATACTATAGAAATGATCCCTGAAAGTATAGTCTTGTCGATTGTATTATTATATACACAGTCAGTACCATGAAGCAGAGCAGGGGCAAAAATCCCAGGCAGATTGCAAATGCCAGAAAGGTCAAAAGAATCCAACCAGTTACCTGACGTCCCCTCTAAATGCATTGGCCTGGTTAACTCCTGAGCCTGACTCTGCATTGAGTCAAATATTGTTTGGATTAAAATATTAAGCTAGGACTAACTTGACCCACACTATTAAGATTATTAGACGAATGGAAAATTGCACAACTGAACATTTTCTTGTCTTCAGAGCCTGAGGGTCATAATTTGTAGGAATCACTGTGCTGGCTTGGATACAGATTATTTACTAAGCATTGACAACTTCTCCAACCTCATATAAGATGGAAAAGAAGTCTCAGTCCCTCCCAGGGGAGTGATAATATAAGTTAGGCAGGCAAAGAATCCAACATAATATAGACAAGGTGTGGCTATAAAGTAATGACAGGGAATTTTTAAAACAAAAATACCAGAACTTACTGTTCAAAAGAGCTGTTCTGCAAATCCGTCGCCTCAAGGCATGGTACAATTAGTTCAGAGATATGTCTATTGCTCAAACATTTTTGGAAGCTGTCTTCAGACTTTGAGAAGCAGTGTGGTGTAGTAAAACAACATAAATGTGAATTCTGACCATTACCAGCTGCATAACCATAGGCGATTTTCCTAATTTATCAGTTCCTTAGTTTTTTTTTTTTTCCTCTCTCTTATAAAATGGAGATAAGATACCATTCCACAGTTATTTGAAGATCAATGAGATCATACATTAAAAGTACCAGACTTAGAGGTGGCTTGCCACCAAGGGCAGCCTTTATTAGCTCAGTTTTAATTCTACAGAGTAAAATCAGCCTCGCTAGGTTATTCATAGAATATTTTGACTAGCAGCAGAATTGAATATTCTTTTGTCCATCTGATGATATAGTCCTTGTGTAAGTTTCTCAGGGCTGCCATGACACAGTATCACACAGTGGGTGGTTTCAACAAAAAAAGATATTCTCTCACAATTCCAGAGGATGGTCAACGTCAGGGTATCCACAAGCCATGCTCCCTCCCAAGAGGATGCTTCCTTGTTTCTTCCCAGCTCTGGTGACTGCTAGCAATGCCTGGTGTTTCTTCTCTACCTCAGTGTCCCTTCTCCTTATAAAGACACTAGTCAGAGTGGACTTGGGTCACACTTACTCCAGTATGATCTTAACCTACAAAGACCTATTTTACACCTAAAAAGACCCTATTTCCAAATAAGGTCACCTCCTGAGTTTCTGAGTAGACATGAATTTGGGAGGACACTATTTAATCCAGGACAGTCCCCAAAATCAAACTCCAAAAAATTTTATTTTTCCATTCTTGAGGACATTTTTTAAAAAAAACATTGACTCAGTTTTTACCAAAAAAAACCTAACAAAAATATTAAAAAGGAAGAGAGAGAGAAAGTTTCAGATATGCTGTAGGTGGAGACAGCTGGTAGCTTTATTGGAAAATATGGCTTGACCATCACTGTGATTAATTTAAAGTCATCATGCCTGACTCTGTCTATATTTTCTTATAACTTTTAAAACTTCAGTTAAATTACTCTTTGTCTCACCATTGAACTTCCAATGGCAAGTGTACTCTCTCATGCCTATGCTAGAGAGCTGACACTCACTTCAGTGGGACTAGGAAAGCTGGTCCCTTAATAACACTAACAATAATGATAATAATGAAAGTGGAATCTTCCGGTAAATGTGAGCTGGCCTGAAAAGATTCAAGCTGAGTGACCCCTCTTTTCACTTCTACTCTCCAAGGTTTATGTAGTTAATACAGTTACCATTTGTAGAAACATTACAAATTTCTATAGATAAGAGCATTTATATTTCTTTTGATGCAGACAGTCAAAGCTGTTCTCAACTCAGGTGAAACTATTCCATTGAAGAAGGAGATCTAGGATAAAGACAAGTGTTTTAAAAGAAGACTGAAATTACTATAGAGCTAAAAATTTCAAAACAGTGGAAAATTTCCCTATAGCCAACATTTGTAAAATCAACTCTTAAAAAAAAAAAAATGTGAGGACTTGAAAGCAGTTTCCTTAAGCATCTTCATGACGACGGGAGAAGCTAGAGGCTCTATAGAAAGAGAAACTCTTGGCGGTAATACCTGCTGAGGTAGCCAAGCCCAAACAGAAGGCATAAATCTCAAAAACTATGAAGTCCTAATCTGGCCATGGCTGGATGAAAGAGTTAAATTGTGTTCCAGATCAGATTAGGATTCCTGCACTCTCGGTACCAAAATCTAAGTAGTCCAAGGAGATTTGTCAGAGACCCTGATAAGACAAACAAATATTCTAGAAGAAGCAGCAGAAGATGGTGGAAGAGTCGGGCCAAGGGAGAGTTCCAGAATAAAGAAAATCTTCAATCAAGAAATGACTGAGTGTCATGTTGGGGAATACTCTGCTCAATTTTTGAGCCCTGTGATTTTTAGCCATGGCAGATTCTAATGCTTTATCCACTTTTATTCTCTTCTACAACATTCCTTTGATTCATGCTGACCAGAGTTATTTATGAGTTGAAATCAGCCTCCCAAGCAGGCAAGGGAGCAATTGTCTCAGGTCTCTGGGTGGGAACCAAAAGTGTTTCACCCTCATAAAGTTTCCAAATTCCCTAGGGTCTACGTGATCTTTGATATGAAGTTTACACTTGGAAAACTTATCTAAAGGGAACTTAATCTTGAAAAGAAGGAGAATGCTTGAAAACTGAAATACTGTAAGAGGCTAGTCATGATAGTCTAGAATGCCTGGGAGGGCAAAGCAGGTAACCTCAACAAATGAAATGGAGTTAGATAGCAGTGAACAGAGGGCGCAGAGGCCACATCAAGCAATAGCTAAATATTTAACCTAAGAAACCGCTAAGCTGAATCCAGAATGGCTGTGCTGCTCTGAATTCCCACCAGCAGTGTATGAGAGCTCCGATCACTGTACATGCTGGGTAGCACTTGGGGTAATCAGGCTTTTGAATTTCAGTCACTGTGAGAGTTGAGTAGTAGCAATGACTATGATTTTAATTTGTATGACCAATTCAGTTGAGAGTATTTTAATGTGTTTATTTGTATGTCTTCTCGGGTGAAATATCTATTTAAATCTTCTGCCCATTTGGAGGGGGGTTATTTATATTTTTTATTACTGAGATTTGACAATTCTTTTTTTTTTTAATTTTTAATATTTATTTATTTATTTTTTAGTTTTTGGCGGACACATCTTTGTTTGTATGTGGTGCTGAGGATCGAACCCGGGCTGCACGCATGCCAGGCGAGTGCGCTACCGCTTGAGCCACATCCCCAGCCCGAGATTTGACAATTCTTGACAATTTTTTTTTTCTTTTCACTACTAGGAGTTGGATCCAAGGATGCTTTACCACTGAGTATATCCCTATCGTGTTTGTGGTTTTTTTTTTTTTTTTGGTACCAGGGATTGAACTCAGGAGCACTTAACCATTGAGCCACATCCCCAGCCCCTTTTTATTTTTATTTAGTGACAGGGTCTTGCTGAGTTGCTAAGTGTCTCACTAAGTTGCTGGGGCTGGCTTTGAACTCTTAATCTTCCTGCCTCAGCCTCTCGAGCCGCTGGGATTACAGGCGTGAGCCACCATGCCTGGCATTCCTACCCATTTTTAAGTTATTTGTTTGCTTATTTAAGATAGGGTTTCTCTAAGTTGCTGAGACTGGTCTTGGATTTGCCATTCTCCTGCCTCAGTCTAGAGTCTGTGAGATTATAGGCATGCACCACTGGGCCGGGCAACATGTCTTAATGTCATCTTTATAACATATCCCTTATCAAATATGTGATTTTCAGATATTTTCTCCCAGCCTATAACTTGTCTTCTCAATCTCTTAATAGTGTGTTTCAAAACCATGTCTTTAATTTTGCTGAAATAAAACTGATCTTTTTTTCTATTTTATGGATCATGATTTTGGTGTTCTAAGAAATCTTTGTGTATCCCAAGGTCATAAAGAGAGAAGTTCTCTTGTTGTTGCTATTGATTTGTTTTCGTTTGTTTGTTTGTTTTGGATAATCTCCCCATTTCATAATGCTGGAAATAACTTGAACTTTATGAACATTCCAGGTAGATTAAACTAAACTCATCTATGGGCTCCATCTGGCTCCTGGGCCAGCTTCTCCTTCTAAAATGGCCCCTCATATTTCTTTCTACATTTAGGTCAGGCAAGGCTACAAGTTCCTTGTTTAACTTCTTCCCAGAATATGATATTTCACAAAAACTTTAGTTAGTCTTATTTGGGGGTCATTTTTTTCTTACTCAGAAGATTAAGATCTCCTTTTTAAAAAAATTATTGAGATATCTGAATATTTTATTGAGTATTGAGAAAAAGAATAAATGATGGCTTAGTTCACCTGAGTTTGGACGTGCTTGGAATTCTGGTCAGATGAAAATGGTATCCCTTTAGCAAGACATATTAACAATCCATTCCAGCAGCCAACAATTACTAAACTTTAATGAGAAAGTCCTGGGTGAGATGGAGTTAGGGGAAGCAGCAGAGGAAAACCAGACTTTTCTGTTTAAATTTTACTTTCGGGTGATTAGGGTCTGTCTGTGCCAGTTGGGGCCCTTTCTTCTTCTTCAGTGCTATACCAGAATTCAAAAGGATGATTTCAAAAGCACTTGACTAATTAAATGCTCTTCCTTTAACACTGGGCTCTCCAGGGTAGTATTTTTAATACACTGAAAGAGATAAAGTTCTGGCCCTGGGCAAACGTTAAGAACATTTTTGTGTAGTCAACACAGAGAGTGTTCTCAGTCCTTCTGGCATTGTTCTGGAAATCCACACGATGCAGGAAATTAGCTGTCTCGAGTCCAAACACTGTTCACAGGAACCGTTTTTACAAACACAGTCAGATACCGCTAAAATGCAGGGTGCCATTCAGAATGTGTGATGCGTCCTGAGGGCGCTACAACTTCAGAATGTCACTGTGCGCGGCTAGTCCAGGGCAAGGAAAAGCAGGACTTCAGCAGAAATTTACCAGGAAAAGCTTGTCCCACTGAAACCATGACAGCATCAAACTTCTGGAACCCAAAAGGAATGAAGACCATTATTGAGCCTCAATGCTCTGAAAACACATAAAACTTCTACTATAGGTGGGATGCTGGTTTTGATCAACAGACATAAACTTACCTTACAGACGTTGCTATTCTGTTGACGGTTGGAACCGGGGTTCAAAAGCTGTTCTCATCTCCTGTAAACAGCATTTCAAAGAAGTGAAAGTTTCCCATTTTCCCTTAAAAAAGAATATTGCTTCGGAACCCCTTTCATCTCCTCTTCGAGGATGTGGTATTCTCAAAGCAGAGGGATGGATTGTCCTTCCACTAAAGCCATTCCATGCTATTATTTTATTTTTAAAAAAGAAAAAGGAAATCCAGAGGACCTGCAAGAGGTTAAATGCCTCCAAACTTTTAACAAGTCCATAGTTAGGTCTGAGTGCCCTTTGGAATCTCACATCCTTGAATTTTTATTTCAAGTACCTTGGTCCCTTTGTATCTCTTTCAGAATTTAGTACTAGATCTTGATCAATTCGTCAGAGGCAAAAATGTAACTACTGATTCTTATAATTAATCCAAGGTGGGGCAAGTTTGAAATCTAAATAAAAAATGAACTGAGGAGTAATTATCCTAGCGAACTCCATTACAGCAGAACTTGAAATAACTATATAGGGTCTGTTGATTATCTTAAAGGGTCCTCTGTGTCCCTCACAGGGAGTGAAACATGAGATTTGGGGGTTTTATTTATTTTTTTTCCTAAAGTGTCTGGAAGGATAATTGTTTGGCTAGGAAACAAATTAATTGCATTTTACTTAGTAGCAAACACATCTTAGCAAACCATTTAAGTTCACTTTAATGTTAGTTTTAAGTGACTTGGTTTAGTAAGGAAAGTGCAAGCCTTGGCTTTCATAGACAGGGGTTTGAATAGCAGCCCTGTCACTTGTCATTTGTGCGGCCTGAGCAAATGTTCTGACCTTTCTGGAACTCAGCATCCTCACATAACAATAGGGCTGCTGACACTCAGCTCGGAGTGTTGCTGTGAGAATCCAACCGCCCTTGAAGAGCTCAGGAGCCTGGCTTCCTTACATCTATCCTCATAGCACTGCAAATCCCACCCCAGCATTCAACACCACATTTTATAATAGTGGATTTCATCTTCTGATTTCCCCCAATACCCTTTTTGGAAAAGGACCTCATCTTCTTGTTCATCTTTGAGCATTCACCTACCATGGCTTGGTACAGAGAAAGCAGCCATAGATATTTTGGGAAGGAAAGAGAAGAAAATATCAGTTGTTTAGCATAGTGAAAAATAGTAAATCAATTAAAGACACAGACTTGGGGTCAAAGTGGATTTCAAATTCAAAACCTTGTTACTTGCTAGCTGGGTGACTTTGGACAAGTTATTCAATTCTATGTATAGAAAGGAGATAATACCTAACACAAAGGGTTGTGATACCAATTATGAGATTATTTTTACAAAGGATTTAGCATAGGAGTTGGCCCATGACAAATACTCAATTATCTTTATTTTTATTATTATTATACAGTTCATTGCAACTCTCCTGGAATCTGATTGGTAGTTTGCAATGTTTGGGTAATAACTGCCTTGGCCTTCACTGAATGAAATATGCATGAAAATCATGCAGGAATTACTTTCTGCTATCACTAGAAATAGTTGTAAAAATAGCAGCGCTGTCCTGGAACTCCACACAGGAGAGAATGAGCTGCCACTGTCTGAGCAAGTCTGACCCTGTTTGGAACATGAAATTTTAATGGGACTCAGGCAGACATTTGAATGGCACTTATCTGTATATTCAAGCATAGGGCTTAGGGTTCTGAGGCTTTGAGAGATATACCAGACCCTGCCCTCCAGGAGATGGCAACTCATCAATCATTATAAAAACAGAAGGTAGAATGTGACTGAGTGCTCTGGCCACAGTGCAGACCCCAGGGTGTACAGAGGGGTAGCCTGCTAATGAGGGGAATGGGCTCTGGGTTGAAATCACTGTCTCACTCTCTACTGGCTGGGTGAAACCGTCTCCTCATAAAAAGAGAGAGCACACCTGCCTTACAGAATGCTGGTGAGCACTGAATAGGAAGATACTTGTGGAAAGCTGACCATAGTGCCTGGTAAGTGCACAATGATTTTAATTATCATTATTGTAGCTGCTATTATTATCCAGCTAGTATTATTTTAACTGAATAATAATAATAATGTATTAATACAAGGCACTACTAGTATATTAAAACAAGTCTATGATATACCTCTACATTCCTATAGTCGATATAATTTTAATCAACATAAAGCTAATAGCATAAAAATATTATTTGTAACATGACAAGTGCTTCATGGGCACTCTGGCATTTGAGCTACATCTTGAAGAATGGGGAGCATCAAAGCAATATTTTGCTACTAGGTATTCAGGGAAGGAAAAAAATATTTTTTATCTGATGCCTTTCTAAATTTCTGATCAGTTCTAAGTTTTATAGTCTCTGATGTATAAGACCACTTGCAGGAGTTTCTGAGGCTAAGAGGTTAAATGAGGATGAGGTCCCAAACCAAAAATTGTCACAGGAAGGAGGGAGATGAAGGAATGCATGCTCAGCAGGGATTCCCCTGGTCACTGCCTGATTTCCCCAACCTGAAATCCCTATAAGAACACAGACAGAGCTGAGCAGAGCACTCAGCCCACTTAGGAATATTTGCTTCACAATTGCTGTATTTATTAGTATTTATGCTGAAAACAAATTCCCCTTTGGGACTCCCATTCCACTCTATTGGTACCTGGTGGATCCTTTAATATTTAAGTTCTTCTGTCTTCAAAGATCTACATCAGAGTCTTTCCTGAGGCTGAGGACTGAATGTACTTGCACCTGGGAATTTCCCTTGTGGCCAGAAAAACCCAAAGGGGAGAACTTTTCACGCATAAAAGAAATTGTAAAGGAAGAAGATAAGTTGGGGAGATAGGGAAAGGGTGGTGTGGGGGGTGGGGTTTTGAGGTCTAAAAACCACACATAAAGATTTAAATAAGCTCTCCTCCACTGTCTTCCCCAGCCCCATTGGAAGGCGACACTGTGTGCGCCCGACACTTTGTACATGTGCAGGCATTGAGAAGAGTTGCAATAAATCAGAGCTGAAATTTGTATTGATGTCTCAAAAAGTGTTTCATGAATTTGTAAAATAAATCTGAGGCAATCTTTCTCAAACTTCAGGGTGCACAAGAACCACCTGGAGAGCTACTGGAGATTTATATTTCCACCCCCAGAGAGCTTGATTCAGTAAGTCCAGGATGGAGCTCCAAAATCTTTATTTTTAACAAGCAACCCATGTAATTCTGGTGCAAATCGTTTTCAAACTAGTTCAAAGTTTTCTGGTCCAAGGATTAGGAATTTATGGGTTTTAAAAAATTATTTATATATATTATGTCTTGTTCTTTTTGAGTTAACTTTTAACTGTTTCCTTCAATTTTCTCATTCAAGATTCCCTTCATTTACACAGGTGGATTTTGTTTTCTTTTCTTCCATTTTGAGGGACTATTTAAGTTTATAAACACTGAAATGCCTTTTTAGGGGGTAGGTAGGACTAGGGCAAATGTAGTAGAGACCACTTCATCATGGTCTTTAGCTAGAAAATTCCAGAGAACACCAGAAAGGTTTCCTCTCCAGGGCTATCCCACCAACAGTCTACACTGAGGGCTGTTGGTTGAGTTGGATCAACCTGCGAGTTGCCGCTTTCCTGAGAAGTGCAAAGCTGTGTGTTCAGCTTCTGACAGAACATACACCATGGCAGATCCCAGGGCATGGAGCGCTGTGTGTGATCAGCCGTGTACAGTGTGAGGTAAATCAGAGGCACGCAGGCACCCAGTGAAGATAACACAGAAGCCTGCCCCGATCCTGCCATCCTGGGTTTGCTCTTTCTTGGCTTCCAGTGGAACAACCCAGGCGCCTGTTCTAAAGGAAGGAAACTTGATAACATGGATCACAATGTCCTTTGTGCCCTTTACATTTGAAGTTGAATAAACCCTGCTTGTGGATGAGGAGGCAGAGGACACAGGAAGGATCTTGGGTCTTAGGACTGGAAGGACCCAGTCTTCTCAGGGGTCCTGCCATGAAGTGCAATGTGTGTGGGGGGGGGAGGGGGGGGGGGGGTCAAAATACAGACTGTGAACTTAGTGGCAGCGATAAATATCTTCACGAAAACATTTTCTTATCTGGTAAATTCTCAAAGCTGCTAATGATCTAACTCGATGACTAAGTAACTCTGAATCCTGCTCCTTTCACATTTCTGGGTTTCAGTTTCTTTGAAATAAAGATTTTGGAGTTGCTAATTTCTATGACAGAATGAATGTTCTGTCCAAGCTATACCTGAGAGGCTTTTTAGAATCAGCTATGATAATCTTCAGAAGTTGAAAGGTTAGTTATCTATTAATTGCATAACTACCCCCAAACTTAATGGCAACCATTTTGTTACAATTTAGTAGGTCAAGAATTTAGGAAGCTGGGGTGTGGGAACATAGCTCAGTGGGAGAGTACTTGCCTAGCATGCCGAAGGTCCAGAGTTCAATCCTCAATTTGATCCCTGGGGGAACATAATTAGGAAGCCAGGCACAGTGGTACACACCTGTAATCTCAGCTATTTGGGAGCCTGAGATAGGAGAATCACAAGTTAGAGGCCAGCCTGAACAACTTGAGGAGACCCTGTCTCAAAATATGTTTTTAAGGAGTGGGATTGGGGTGGGATGGATCTGGGGATGTGGCTCAGTGGTACAGCACTCGCCTAGCAGGAGCAAGGCCCTGGGTTCCATCCCAAACACTTACACACACACACACACACACACACACACACACACACGAAAGGGTTTAGCTGGGTGATTCATCTCTAAGGCTTTTTGATGTCAGCTATTGCGGCTGGCAGTTCCATTTCTGAGATCCTTCACTCAGCCATCTGATGCTGCAGTCTACCTGTCTGTCTCCCTCTCGCACACAGACAGAGCAGCTAATCACTAAGGTACCTCGGTATGGTTTGTGCTTCTTGCAGCACAGCAACCTCAAACATAGAGGCTCAGTGCTCCAAGGAGCCAAGGCATAATCAAACTGCTAGTCCTCTTTCAGCCAGAGCTGGCACAGCCTCACTCTCTCTGTAGTCTATTGATCAGAATGTTACAAACCAGCCCACGGTGAAGGGGAGAACTAAGAC